GTCCAGTGCAACGCAAAAAAGAAAACATGATGAAGATGAAATAGTTGAGCAGGTAAGGCATAAGAGTAAATGTGGTACCTATAACATATAATTTACTGTAACCTTCAGGAAAATCCGCCTGTTGCAGTGGAATCCTGGAAACATTACAAGCCTAGTAATTTACAGAATCCAATCAATCCTGTATTAAATGTAAGAATGAAATTTGTATTTATTATTTATAAAGAATTACACAGTGGCGTAACTATCACCGGGCAGTTCGGGGCAAAGCCCCGGGGCCCCCGATCTCGGGGGCCCCGAAACCCGAAAGGTGCCGGACACACGTAGAAAACAAATGCGTAGTATACAAAACAAAATTGTAGGTCATGGTTCATGATTGCTAAATCTTAACATGGTACTACATTCATTCGAAGCTCATAACTAAAATGTTTATACTCTGAAATCTGATATCTGGCACTGATACCCTATTTGAATAAAAATAATTAAAATACGCAACGCTATTCATGTTGCTGGCATTCAATTCATTTGAGATAAGATTAGCAGGGACTGTTTAGCGCTTATGCTGAAGTGGTAAAACAAATGAAGTACCTAGCTATATTTCCTTTTCTTGCAAGTTGGGATTTTTATTTCTGTTAGTAGGTTACGCTTACGACTGTTGAATTGCTACGGAGTTATCTTTGCCCTTTAATTACTTACTGATGTAGTGATCTTCGTGGCGGCCAAAAGTGTTTCCGGGTGCAGGGTTTTTGTCGTGCTTTGCAATTTTGTATTCTTTAGTGACTCTGCGTTTCTGTTTTATTTGATGTGTTTTTGTTTTCGTCGTTTTCGGTTACTACTGTGTTACTGTTATTCATACAAATTAAAATTTAATAAAGGTGTAACTGAACAGCAATCTGAAGCTGAACGTTTTGCCGTTTTCGTTGAAGGTGAGTACTTACTTTATCTATTATATTATATATGTATGTATAAACACTCCAACGTATACGTATTCATTATTCAATAAAATAAATTAAGTACGTTCATGGCAAAAACAGAAAATACAAATACAGGGTGTCCCTAAAAGGTCTGTACAACGCGCTACCAGGGGTTCTTGGTATCAAAATAGGACGATTTAACCCAACTTACCTCTATCCAAAAGTGCTTCGGTAAGACGCTATCTACCGCCAAAGATTTTTTAAAAAAATCGTTATTTTTATTTTATCGGAAAATGGTTTTGCCGATTAAAATGAAATTCGGGATGTGAATGTCTAACGTAAAAAGGGTTTTTGTGATATCATCGTTTTGAATGTAGTTGCTATGTAGGTGGTAAAATACTGACCATCCACATCTGAAGAGGTCTAAAATTTTTAACTACTATTTTGACGGTTCTGAATTTTTAGACACTGATAGACAGTTTACTTGCAAGCATTTTTTGTCTCTTGATGAATATCGCTATCTGTGATGGTTTACGAAAAAAAAATTTAGGCATGAAGAATGGCATGCACCATACATGCGATTGTTCCTCAAAAAATCAGAAGATGGCTGTGAAACCTTAGAGTGGCGTAACGTTTGTTTGTTGTTTCTTAAACTTGAAGAATTTACGTTTTGCTTGAAGACTTAAAATTTCATTGTTAAAATTGTAATATGGCCTTTCAATACAGTAACGCAGAGTTAACTGATATGCTATTAGTGTTTGGATACTGTCGTGGAAATGGTCGCCAATGCGTTAGAGAGTATACTCACAGGTTTCCAAATCGTCGTGTACCAAACCATCAAACGTTTGCGGCTGTTGAAAGACGTCTTCGTGAGACCGGTCGCTTTGCTCCTGTGATGGCTGATTACGGACGTGGACGTTATGTAATGAATCCCGATGTCGAAGAAGCGATTTTGGATCGTGTAGCAGACGAACCGGAGATAAGTAGCAGACGCTTAGGGTCGGAATTAATGGTCTCGAAAAACGTTGTCAATGGAGTCACTCGCGAACAATTGCTACACCCGTACCACATTCAAAAAGTGCAAGATCTTTTGTTGCCTGACCCGGATCAACGTCTAATTTTCTGTACTAATATCAATGAACGAAGAGTTCGAAATCAGAATTTTTGCCGAAACATTTTATTTACCGATGAAGCTTGCTTTACAAGAAGGGGCATAACAAACCTACATAATGAACATGTGTATGCAGATGAGAATCCGCATGCATGTAAAGTTACCCATTCTCAACACGAATTCAAGATTAATGTTTGGGCAGGAATCGTTGATACTTTTATTGTTGGTCCTGTAATTTTACCTCAACGATTAAATGGCGATAGTTACTTGCAACATATTCAAAATACTGTGCCAGATTTATTGGACGACGTATCTTTGGAGCTACGCGGAAACATATGGTTCATGCATGATGGTGCCCCTCCTCATTTTACTGTAGCCGTCCGAAACTTTCTACATCAGGAATACCCCAATAAGTGGATAGGTAGAGGACATGATGCTCCCATGCAATGGCCACCGCGCTCTCCCGACCTAACGCCGATGGATTTTTTTTTATGGGGAGCAGTTAAAGCCCAGGTGTATTCCACACCCGTTAATACGGAAGAGGAATTGTGGCGGCGGATTCAAAATTCTGTAGAAACTTTAAAAAATAACGTACCAATGTTGCAAAGGGTACAGTTTAATTTATTACGCCGTATAATGCTTTATATGCGTGAAAATGGAGGTTACTTTGAACATTTAGTAGTTTAAATTAATACATTACATTGACTTACTCTGTTGTGTTCGTTTATTCTACGTTACATGCACTACGGTTTCATAGCCTACTTCTTGCTTGCACTTATGGTTTTTGAGGAACAATCGCATGTATGGTGCATGCCATTCATCATGCCTAAATTTATTTTTTTTTCGTAAACCATCACAGATAGCGATATTCATCAAGAGACAAAAAATGCTTGCAAGTAAACTGTCTATCAGTGTCCAAAAATTCAGAACCGTCAAAATAGTAGTTAAAAAGTTTTAGACCTCTTCAGATGTGGATGGTCAGTATTTTACCACCTACATAGCAACTACAATCAAAACGATGATATCACAAAGACCCTTTTTACATTAGACATTCACATCCCGAATTTCATTTTAATCGGCAAAACCATTTTCCGATAAAATAAAAATAACGATTTTTTTTTTAATCTTTGGCGGTAGATAGCGCCTTACCGAAGCACTTTTGGATAGAGGTAAGTTGGGTTAAATCGTCATATTTTGATACCAAGAACCCCTGGTAGCGCGTTGTACAGACCTTTTAGGGACACCCTGTATATCCAATGCTTATAAAAGAAAAATTTCGATTATGGATAATCATTTCTTGCAGTTATAGAAAACGACTGAATATGGAGAAACGCACTTACATAAGTGGTTTTCAGAAGAGGAAATTAAAAAGGGCACGTGATGAGTCCGTAAATAAACTTGCAAAACTGGATAACTTTGTTATCAAGATTAAACCAGATGCTGTGGAAACTGAGATTTCAACCCATGAACAGGAGGGTTCATCTTCCTCCAAAGAACAACAACACGTAACAAGCGAGGGAGGAACATTTTCACCTGAAGCACCACCAGAAGCAACTTCAGGGAGAATTCAAATGGATTCTGTTAACCTCACTTTACAGCCACAACACAGTTGACCGCCACATCTACATCCACATCGGCTCACAAAAAATAACTTATGTTACCACCATTCATCTATATTTTAATATTTTAACTTTGACGCTAAGGCCAGATGATGACAATAAATGTCGAAATCGATCGCCAAAAAAGAAAAAAATTTATTATAATAGGTAATCCACTATAAATCCCTCAACCTTCTCGAGAGGTCGTTCAGTAAATTAAAAATCATTAAAAATTATTTAAGATCTCAAATGGGTCAGAAGAGATTGAACAACCTAGCTCTTCTTTCGATCGAATATAAAACCGCGTCCGAAATGGATTTAACCCAAGTTATAAACGAATTTGCAAATGCAAGGCTCGAAAGAGAGAATTTTAGATCCTTTCGGGCGCTTCGGCTCGGCAAATATATATGTAATTTACCTATATTTGAAAATTTAATGTTTAGTGTATTCCGATTTTGTATTTCGCTCGATAAGTAGTAAAAATTCAATAATAACCGTTTTAAATGTGTTTAATTTAAACGATTAGGTACATTAAAACTTTAAGTCATCCCTGGTATCTATAGGGGGCCCCCAAGGACCGTTTTGCCCCGAGGCCCCCAGCTGTGTTGTTACGCCACTGGAATTACATTTACATTTTAGGAACAATCTACTTCAAGAACTCCACTGAGAAGCAACCGCCGTAGACCAGTGCAGCAAATTAAAGCTTTATCATCGTCAGCTGTTGCCGAAAAATATGAGCAGTTATTAAATAAACGTTTATAGTCGAGAAACAAATATTGCAATTAGAGGAGGACAAAATAATGAAAAAGGAAAAGCAAAGATTAGAATTGCAGCTACTAGAATTAGAAATTGAAATTAAAAAAAAACTCTAAACTAGGAACTTATTCTATTTTTATATTGTACATTATAAATTTGCAAAGTAGTTGTCTATTAGTTCTCGACGATAGTCGTACAGTCCAACATGGTTGACGTTTTGTGGTAGTTGCGGAACTTCACCTAAATCAATTAAATTTTGCAACTCATTTGCATTAATGTTCTCTGGAATTGGTGGTACGTCTTCTTTCATATCTAATGCTATGTTATGCAATACTGCCGTGGCAGTAATAATTGTTAATGTGGTTTCCACCTTACATCGCAAACCATATGCCAACACTGGAAATCTGCGTTTCCAAACCCCAAACAATCGTTCAATTGTGTTTTGGGTTCTTATATGGGCTTCATTATATAATGATTCTTCTCTGCTTATTGGATTCAGAAGAGGAGTTAAGCAATATGGCCTTAATGTATATCCACTATCGCCTACAAATTAAAGTTTTATAGATAAATTAAAGATGCAGTAATAAATAATTACCAAGAATAACGTTATTGTTGAACTCGCCAGCTTCAAAACGTGCTCTAATTCTGCTGTTATTAAAAATAGTAGCGTCGTGGGTGGATCCAGGCCACCTTGCAACAATATCAAACACTTTAAGTGTAGAACTGCCAATAACCTGTGTGTTTATTGAAAACACTGATTTTCTATTTCTATACACCTCTGCATCTTCACCACCTAAGGTTTTCACTGTACCGTAGCCATTAAACAGAAATAAGTATTACCTGGAGACTGTATTTTTATATGTGTTCCATCAATACAACCAAGCACTCTGGGGAATCTCGCAATTCGATAAAAATCCTGATTGGTGTGTATGACTTCATGATCTCTTGGCATCTTGATATAAATTGGTCTTAATCCAGCAATAGCTTCAGAAACTTGTGTTATTACTCGGGAGGCTGTGGATTGATGGAATCCCTTAAAATCTGCTATAGATACTTGATGTCCAGAGGATGCGTAAAATTTTAATGTAGCCAATAATTTGTTAATGGGAGAAATACTATTGTTTCTGAAAAGATACCAGTTGTAAATTGCTGCTAAATTACTCAAATTGCGCCAAACTTACAAATCATTATCGAACTCCAGAAATTCCTCTATTTGTGGTAACAAATGTAAAACTGTATTTTTAGTTAATCGGAACCTTCTAAAAAAGGATAGCTCATCCATGTCGTCAAAATAATTGGTCCTCTGGTAAACACGCCTTGGAAAACCGTATTCAATTATGTTTAACATGTCACCATCATCGTCATAAAACATTTCGTCTTCAATTTCCATGGTAGATTAACGAATTTTAAAACTCCAAGAGATTTGAGAAGACCGAAGTTGAGGTTATGTGATTACGTCGTAAACAACAGTGACAGATGCTAGCGCGCACGCGTGTACCTTAAATCGAGATTACACACTTAAACGAGCAAAATTGCCGGTGTAACTTTAAGCTTCGTTAGCACTCTAAACATTAGCGGTGCATAGCAGTTATGTTATTTAACCAAGTTTAAACTCTAATCCAGTTTAAAAACGCTACGGTGCATACGGCCATAAGAATTACCTATCGTACCGATTAATTAAAATTGTGCCATTTACATAGGTAGGTAACATTTTTTAGTCTTCACCTGCGGGTCCACCAATGTCAATTGTGTAAAGTTCATAAACATGAAAACATAAACATGAAAGAATAAACAGGAAAGCATTTGTCGCCGGGAGGAGTTGTCATCGGAAAAACGGTGCCGGGGTGTACGTCACTGGGATGTGCATCGTCTGAATGGGATGCTCTTCATTTTATAATCTTTAACGTTCCAATTCAGAACGTTTGTCAATGAATGACTGTCAGTGGCAATGTCACATACCTACAGCATGTTGTATTTTCACAAATATTAATTTGAATGTTTATTGTGATAGTACAAAACAGTTCAAGATGAGAAGGTGACTATCGGAAAGACGGCGAAATGAAATTATGAAGACCTCGTCAACAAAATTTTATAACAGTCTTCGTAATTATAGCAAAACAAATAAAAATAAACTTAATTTCAAATTAATTAGAAATCTGTCTTAGATAAATGTTAATGTCATTTTACCTCAACAGATGGCGCTACTAGTATTTATAATAACAATAATTATCAGTAATTTCAAATTCAAATATGTTCTTACATGTGGTCATTTTATCTCATTTCCTGATGTCCTTGGTATTTGCAAATTTGATGTACATTCTAGAATATGGCGAGCATGGTCCAACTTAGTGAACTTAATTGTAATTATTAAGAGACCTTGTGGAGTTCGACTTTATATTTAGGTAAGTCCATAGTACGTTGTAATTTAGGCTCGTACTTAAATTAAGTGATGTGTTCATCTAAGGCATGTACCTACTGATATTCGACTTTATATTTAGAATACTACCCAAAATAAGACAATTCCCGATTACGACAAAAAACACCCGATTTCGGACAAGCAATAAACCGACTACGAGCAGTGCGTCTTTTTTATATTCCCGCATTCGACCCCGGCGACCCGTTCAAATAACCTCTTGAAGGGAGCTATTCCGGTTTATAATCAAGCTGCTGCCAGTACCTCCAGTCCTGCAAATTGCGGTATCGACCATGAAATGGTGGTTGACAATAATCATACAGAATTAGGTACAAATACTGGTAATAACACAACCGATTCAATAGAAGCTACTGAACCGAATGATTTGAATATCGTGGTGGTGGAAGAGAATGAGGAGTTTCGTGATGTAGGTGTTCTGCTAATCAGTGATAAAGCAAGTTTCAAAGAAGAGATAGCTGGTTGGGCAGTTCGAAACCAGATCAAACATAACCACTTGAATGAATTGCTAACAATTTTACAGAGAAATGGGCATAAGGAATTGCCCAAAGATGCGAGAACCCTATTGTGTACACCAAAATCAGTAACAGTTGTTGACATGCCACCGGGCAAGTTTATTCATTTTGGCCTTGCTAAAGGTTTATCTCATTGCCTAAAAAACGAAACACAACAAAGAAAATTGGAAATGAATTTTAATATCGATGGTTTGCCAATTGCGAAGGACAGTAATAAGTGCTTTTGGCCCATTTTGTGTCAAATATCCAACCTTAAGTGTAGCAAACCCTTTCTTGTTAGTATTTATGAGGGTCCTAGTAAACCAAAGGATATGAATGAGTTTATGGCTCCTTTTGTAGAAGAATTAGTTGCTTTATTAACGAAAAATGTGGAAGTGCAAGGAAACATATACAAAATTAAAATAAACGGCTTTGTATGTGATGCTCCTGCTCGGGCTGCTGTAACCGCAGTGTAATCACATTCGGGGTATTACGGGTGTGGCAAATGCATGGTGCACGGTTCCTTTGAAAATGGTGTAGTGTTTCTTGACATTAATGCGCCTGAGAGAACAAATGACAATTTCCGATCTCGTGAAAATGTTGAGCATCATCCCACATAGCACACCAACATATCTATAACATATAATAAAGATTTTGTTCAAATCTATGAAATATTGGTAGAATATTTAACATTTGCCTCCAAACCTTTTCAAAACATTTAGGAAACATCTAGATGTCCCACTTCTAATATTTTCTACACATTTACTAAAATATTTTTTAAATATTTGTAAAACATGTATAAATGCTATCATAATATTGGCATACTTTCTGATAATGTTGTTATAATGTTTGTAATACATTTATATCATATTGTTCCAAATATTTCTTAATATTCCATAAACATTTAAACCTGCATTTTGATTTTGATGACCTACTTACATTTTATTAGAGCTTTCAGTACAACTTGTAAATATTAACAAATTTCTTATTTACAAAGGTACAAATTTAACCAAAGGCTGAAACAAAATTTAAATAGCTTACTATCATTTAAAAAGGGTGCACCTGTGGTTTTCTACGAGTACATACATTACTCAAAAGATTTCAATAAAATGGATTTTATTTTGTAAGTATTTAAAACAAAAATAAAGTATAAAATTATTTTTGTTTCCTAAATTTTGCTTGTGCCAGCCACTGCCTGGTTTCTGGTAGTATGTCGCTTTCTGTTGCGTCATGCGTTTTTTGATTCTTCCGAATTGATGCTGTAAAACATAGGTAAAGAGAAATATGAGTTAAAAATGCATTGCTATAACTTACCTAATAACAAATGATACAGTTTCAAAGATTTAAATTTTAATTTTCCTTTTGCTCCGTCAAAACTATACAGTTTTGCCACATCATTTGTTAACATTAAATATAATATTCTTCGTGTTATATCTTTTGCCGTTTCTCCTCCTACCAATGAAAACTTCAGAGCCTTAAAAATAATTATTATCCATTATATCTGAAAATTACAAAAATAAAATTTATAATCATGGAAACATACGCACTGGAATGATGTGAAGTTTCACTAGTTTCACTCTGTGCTGTATAGGGTTCTAATACATTATCACTTTCTGTATAGAAATCCTCTGGGACATTCTCTGTTACTTTATTGTTATCTAAAATGTGAAACAATGAAATACAAACTCGGAAGTTTAAAGCACAATATTACCTGCTGTATTTTGTTTGCACTCTTTCGGATCTAAAAATCAATCAAGTTAATAATTTTTAGATAGGGGAATGTGTATACATACTAGATCCTTTAAATGTTGGAAATGTTATATTAGTATTTAATTCTTCGTCATCTGTATTAATGTTCATAAACTCACTAAATTTTGTATTAGGTTTACGTATTCTCTGTCCTTTTCCATCCATGCCATCAAGCATTGTCTTTGTTTTTTGGCTGAAAATTTTCTTCCCATTTCTAGCTGCTTCACATTGTGTTTGGGCATATGTAAAATCATCTAAAAATTAAATGTAGATTAACAAAATTTTGTGATTGGGAACCAAAACTAATACAAACCATATTTTGCTAACATATTGACATCATACACCTTCCAATCCTCTTTTGGAGAAGTGCCACTTTTAATAATTTCATAAAGTCTAAAACCTTTGACAGGTGGAAAATGGCATATGGTGTTGTCATCATCGAACACCCAATGTTCCGGTACTACTTCAATTGTTTTGTCAAAATGGAAAAACACTACACACCACTGCATGTTGCCAACCAGAAGTTAATACTATAATATACATAATAAATAATACTAAATGTAGCAAAAAGATGTAAGTATTAATAAAACTGACAAGTTAGTAATTTTCCTTGTGAATTTTTACATCCAATATCTTACAAATGTAACAAAGCAGTTGCAATATATTCATTATCATTATATGGTAATATCATTACCTTACAACGGATATCACTGATATTATACATTTTTAGATTACTAAAATGGTTTATATTGATACACCACACACCCACTAATTCCGATGAACAAGGTCTATTAAACCAAGGTCGAATTTTTGTGAAAGATTGGCCAATGGCACAAATGGCATTTCCAAGAGTAACAAAATTACAAATATTAATTAAATTTTTATCATTTAACAAAGCATAACAATCCCTTAAATTTAATTTAAACGTGTAACCTTTAAGTTTTGCAATCATAAATTGTGGTGAGCAACAATGTCTTAACAGAGGACCCTTTGAATGCTCATTTAAAAACTGGGGATACTCCATAAAAAATTGAGGATAGATCATCTTGCAAGATATTCGTTCAGACACACGCTTAACTATTTGCTGAATAGGTTTATCTTGTTTCCTTACTAACTTTTTAAGTATCTGCATATAATTTTCGAAATCAAAAGCTGAAAAATTATGTACAGGCCCAAATCTTTCAGCATCATCTACTAAATGAAGAAGATTATGAACATTAAATGATATAAAATCAGGGCCATATATTCTTCCGCTGTCCTTAACAAAGGCATCCAAAAGAGCTTTTGCATATACCAACATATCTGTAGATGTACCATAATCCTCACTATTCAATATTCGCATTGCAATATACAGATTTAAAGATTATAATAATAATCAGGTTTGAGAAATTTCTTAAATACAACAGGTCCTGTATATAATAATAACAATCTAAACTCTACAGCTTTAAAACGTGCACAATGTTGTAAAGATCTAGCTTTTCTATTAGAAAATTCACATACAATAAAATTATTACAATCTTTAAGATTTTTCGATATTTCACCTTGCTGAGTTGCAGAAAGTTTGTGTAAAAAAGTTCCTTGAATCCAACCAAAATTTTTATGACATAGTAACCTCTTCATTACACCTAAACATACTAAGTGCATGTAGTCAAGAGGCACATCTTTGATTAAGTCAAATTTTGGTAAACTTGTGAACAAAGTCGTACCCTGATGATGATTATCTTGAGAGCAATTCCTAAATTCATAATCACTCCGTAAATTCCGCTTAGCTGTCCATGGAAAACACATTACATTGTTAATTCTTTCAGCAGTTTGATAGCATTTGGTGCAGCCAGTTTCTGCAGTATGTCCTTTGACATTCAAAACATATGATTTAGCAGGGGCATCACAAACCAGCATTTTGATTCGAAAAGGATAATTGTTCCCAGAAAGAAAAATACCTTTATTTGATAAATTCACTGCTTCATCAATAAAGTCTTTCAAGAACTCGTTGGCTGAAGAAGGTTTTGAATATCCATGAAAAACAGCCACCATTACAACATAATTTTTAATATGTAATAAGGAATCTATTTTAATTAATATTGGCCATAATGAACTGTTTGAACTAGATGTTAATGGTAATCCATCAATGTTAACTATTATTTCAATTAGCGGTGTGTTAACTGGTATAGTATATTTTAATTGCAATAACAAATTATTTAAAGTGTCCGAGATGCCAAAATAATAGAAACTTCCATTATCTAATGTCTTCACCAATACTTTTCTTGGTGTGTTCAATAGGGTGCGGGGATCTCTTGGTAGATTTTTAAATGCATTTATATCATTTTCTGATTTAAGAATTTCTAGGAGTTTTCTAAATGTAGAATGAGGTACATTTTCTTCTGTGCTCCACACCCTCAATTTTTCATCTAAAGTTTGCATTTCATTTATTGAATCATTCACCGAAAACTCAGTCTCATTTACTTCCATAATATCCTCAAATGCATTATCATCGAGAGAAGATTCTAGAATATTAAATAATAAATCTGTGATACTACTGAATCTGACTAACTACACTAGTTACTTGGCATGTGTAATCTAAGATATAAAACAACTTACCATCGAAACTATCGATATTACTGACTAATTCATTACGGCCTGCATCTTCGGTAGGAACTTCGATACAAACGATATCATCGTCATGATGTGGGGTTGAAATCTTCAATGGTTTATTCTTATGGGGCTCAGTAGCAACACAAATATTGTTACGACTAGCTGCGGATTGTTTGATTTCAAGCATTGCTGCATTTACCTGTTTATGCAAGATTCGGTTTGTTTGCCTTTTTGATCGATTTGCTCTCGGATTTGGCATCCTGAAGACTATTTACGACAAAATCAGTTTCATTCCTATCCGCTGATATAGGTAAATAGCTAAGATTTTTACGAATTCGATGTCCGTATCGTAAGATTAATGACATTTTGTGGGTTGTAGAAAAACACAAGGAAAACAAACTATTTTGGTTATGTTGATGGTTATTGTAAGCAATTTAATGAATAACCTTTATACAAAGAAGAGTAAATAATAGTGAATCTTAAGACATACCTTGCAATTTATAATTCTTGGGTACTTAACGACACGATTAATTAAAAAAAATGCACCTACCTAAACACCAAAACACGTAAATTTAATGGCGGCCACAGACCATCAACGGATGGCGACCATCGAGTGCAAACGCAAACTACATTCGCTCTGCGCAGCCGTGAAAAATTCCCCGCCATAGTTTTGTATATATATTTTTCAAACATTATGTTGCCGGAAAATACAAAACACCACAGAATAGTTTTACTTATTTTATTAACTTATCTCGATATCACAATTTCACCAGAACGCCTCGTCTGCCTCAATCGCCTTTCGCCACGGTACTGCTCGCCTCGCCCCTTCACGCCGCCAGCCTCCCCTCTCTAAGGTCGCCTACGCGCCCCTAACACTCGACCATCCTGAAAAATTAATGTCCCCATTAATTACCACATCACCAAACGCCTACGCCTAACTCTCCAAGAGATCCAATAGGTCTAACCTATCAATCTCCGCACCACTTTCATCACTAACATCATCATCACACTTGGCACTCACTCGTCTATCGCCCTCATTCGAACCACTCTCGTCTCTACCACGCCAATTGCTACCCATGCATGGATACCGCCGTAATGAATCAACCGCCACTGTCGCCTGAAAGCGCTTATACCCCTTAACGCCCTTGATCGCCTCGATTAGGTACCTATCGTTGGGCATCACCTTGGCAATCCGATATGGCCCATCATATTTGTTCGCCAACTTATGGCTCACTTTGGCATCTACTCTACCAGTCGCTGAGCCTCGCCAAAGTACCAAGTCGCCTACCTTATACTCCGTTGCCTTCCTCCGCCGTTTGTCATAATGTGACTTCGCCTGAGCTGCTGCTCGTTTAAGGTTCGCCTTCGCATCACTTCGGTTCGCCCGTAACTGATCCCTTGATTTGGAAGTACTCGCTTCAGAGTCGTCACCCTGAGGCTTTCCCCCCTGGCCATGTGAGAAAGGTCTATGTTCGCCTGGGAGCCCTGCCTGGCTCAATGGGTTTCCGCCACCCTCGCCGCCACTAGCTAGTGTTTCGCCACTGTTGGCCAAATCAGTTACTACGCCATTATGATGAGAAAACATCAGCTGAGCTGGGGTATATTTAGTCGCCGATGAAATGGTGTTATTGATGCCCCAGATAATCTCAGGTAGACGTTCATCCCATCTATTTTCTGCCTGGACAGTTGCAGTCAACGCCTCGACTATTGTCCTATTTTGTCGTTCCACCTGACCATTCGCCCTGGGAGTTGCTATCGCCGTTTGCACGTGCCTTATGCCTTTCTCCGCCAAGAACTCCCCAAATAACCTACTCGTAAACGCCAGACCTCGATCACTTATAATTCGCCGTGGGTACCCAAAATCGCCGAAAATCTCTCTCAATTTACATATCGCCTCAGTCGATCGTAAGGTCTTGGTAGGTTTCGCCAGCACATACTTGGTGAAACCATCCACCACAACAAGTATATACATATAACCCTTATTACTCCTCACAAATGGACCCACATGGTCGATGTGAAGGGTGTCGAAGGGTACCGCCCGCCGTTCAATAGGGTATAAATAACCCTCACCTCGCCCGTAATTTCCTTTTGCAAACGCACATCGCCAGCACGCCTGCACATATTTCGTAATGAATTTGGTCATCTTTGGAAACCAATAGGTTTCTTTCACCAGCTTGAGACACCTCTCCACTCCAGGATGACCAATATCATCATGGTGCCGCCTCAGCAAAGGAAACCTCGCCATAGACGGCACATACAGCCGATCGCCCGCCAACGTGATCCTATAAAGTCTGCGACCTTTTATTTTATATTCCGCCTTCACGTTTCTTTCTGCCACGCCAGATTCCAAAGCCGCGACTATCCCTTCCGCCTTGGGATCCTGCAGCTGCATCAACAGAAACCAATCCTCCTCCGCCATGGTTACAATGTTAACGCCTATTGCCTCACCTGGCAACGCCTCGCCAACAGGATTCCTACTCAATGCATCTGCATGCTGCATCCTAACACCAGGACGATACTCCACCTCTAAGTCATACTCCTGAATTGTCAGCCACCACCGAGCAATTCGAGGCACCAAATCCCTTTTTAAAAGAGTCGCCCTTACCGCCACACAATCGGTCACTACCTTGAACCGAATGCCAATCAGAAAAACCCTGAAACGCCTGATGCCTTCGACCACCGCCAAGGTCTCCAGCTCATAACTGTGATACGCCTGCTCACTAGGAGTGGCAACTCTGCTAAAGTACTCCACCGGCCGCCACGCCTGATCGCCATCGGGCCTCTGCAAGAGTATAGCGCCAATGCCCAACTTACTAGCATCCGTATGAACCTCAGTATCCGCCTTACTGTCGTACAATGCCAGTACCGGTCTACACGCCAACGCATCTCTGAGCCGAATGAACGCCTCCTGCTGCTGGTTGCCCCAGCTCCACGCTACATTTTTCTTAGTGAGGTCCGTTAAGGGCTTCGCCACACCCGAAAAGTCCTTTATAAACCGCCTAAAATAAGACGCCAATCCAACGAACTGCCTAACGCCATGCACATCCGTTGGCACCGGGAACGATTGCACCGCCTCTACCTTACGTCTTCCAGGTTGAACGCCACTAGCGCTGATTTCATGCCCTAGGTACTCCACCCTTTCCAGCAGGAAGGAACACTTGTCTAAGCGTAACTTCACGCCCGCCCTCGCCACTATCTCTAACACGCGATCGAGGGCGCCCAAACCTTCCTCAATAGTGGTTGTGGGTATCAAAAGGTCATCCATATACACCAACACCTCGCCATATCGCATCTCGCCTAGCATGCTGTTCATGATACGCTGGAACACCGCCGGAGCATTCGCCAAACCAAACGGTACCCTTAAGTACTCGTAATGTCCGTCCGGTGTAATAAACGCCGTTTTGTCCACCGAGTCTGGATGCAAAGGCACCTGGTGATAACCCTGCGCCAAATCAAGGGTTGTA